CAATATACAAAGTATTTCAAATAGGAGTAGGGACATGTGTACAATATGACAATTACAGTTTTGAATTTGTATCAATATAAAAATTATCTTAAATAGGAATAGAAAAATAGTTTACATTTGTGTCAATATACAAGGATCCTATCAGTATAAATTATCTAGGGCTGATAGTTTGCTAAAATTAGTTTATTAGTAGATAACAATAATCTACTAATTACTAATAATCTAATACCATAATATTCTATACCTGTCTATTCCCCTTTTTTCTTTTCTTAAAGGGAGTCCTGAATCTAAATTGTATTGTTCCACCCCCAACCCTATAACGACTTATCCATATCCTGAGAAAATGAAACCTTTGGGAGAGGGGGCGTCATTTTCTTAAAATTGCTTCCTACTGTTTAGGGGGTGATGGTATCTCTGTGGGATCCTGTAAGAAAGCTAAATGGTTAAGTCTCAGTAGGACTAGCTGTAGAGTCTGTAGCTAGTCTCAGAATAATTGGTAAGGTTATCTGAGATTCTGGCTAGAAGTGTAATATAATGGACCATCTCATCTCGGAACTGTCCTGAAGAGTTTGCAGTCCAAATCTGATCATTGAGTGGTGTTTTTTGGTTTAATGGCATCATTATAGACCAAGTAGAGTTGTTATTGTGGGGCCCTGTCTTTCTGGAGACTTCAGAGACTGCTATTGGAAAGACTTACTTTTCACTGTGGAAAACTTGAACATTATTAATATCAAAATGGAAGGTTTGGATTGTAGGATGACATGACATGTGAGGAAGATTTCTAGAAATCAGGAATAAGCATGGAGAGAAATAGAATTTTTGACAACAATGGTCCCTAGATTATTGTTTGTTTGTTTTTTTATGTCACACACTAGTTGACTCTTCCAATATGAGACAGAATCTCCTATTTTTTTTCTTTTAGCAACATGCTTGGATTTAGAGAAAGAGAGAGCTACATTCCACTTCCAAAGCCAGCTTGATTTATAATTGAATTGAGACCACAACTTTTCTAGAGTTAAAGAGATATTGATGTTAGGCAGTGAAATATTATTCTGTAGAGTATATGGGTACCAATAGGTCCTTCCCTTCTGCTGTAGATGTCTAGGTGTCCGAGGCCTTTTGATTTCTTGAAGATGGGTATTTCTGTTTTTTTGTTTTGTTTTGTTTTGTTTTTTGAGACAGGGTTTCTCTGTGTAGTTTTGGTGCCTGTCCTGGATCTCACTCTGTAGACCAGGCTGGCCTCGAACTCACAGAGTTCCACCTGGCTCTACCTCCCAAGTCCTGGTATTAAAAGCGTGTGCCACTGCCGCCTGAAGATGGGTATTTCTAAATTTATGTAAAGACAAAAAACAGAACCCTGCCTGACCATTGTTTGTTGAGTTTTCCTTACAACTTGTAGAATTGTCACATCGATGAATGAGCTATCATTTTTCCTCATCATGGGGTTTCTCCTATTCAAATCAAATTTTTATAATTTTGTTGGCATCCATGGCTTTTTTTTTTTTTCTGCAGAAGCAAAAGTAAAACCTCTTCCCCAACATAGGACATATCCTGGTTTCCATTCCAACATCAACACATCTTTGAAGTAAACAGGCCCAGCTAGCTCAGTAGGTAGAGCATGAGACTCTTAATATCAGGGTCATGGGTGCATGCCCCACGTTGGGCGCCAGATAAAGCGAGAAATCCACAGGAGTCTGCTTAAAGGTTAAAAGGAATTTATTAGGAAAGAAAACTCATTAAACATAATAGGAGAATCGTCACAGGGTCCTGGGAAGCTGAGGTACTGTTCCATGCTGTTCTGCTACCT